CATCCTCCAGAGAGCTATTCTGCATATTAATCACTTGGGAGGGATTGTGTAATATGGCCGGAAGGGTGTGGGTTCCATAAAATGTTGCCCTCTGCGCCATCTCTTTCAGGAGCTCCCTAGAGCTTCCTGGCGCTGGAGTTGGGCAATGCTGCTCCCTCTCCCTGTAAACTGTAGGGAAAAGGAAGGTTCCCGAGGAAAGATGGAACGAAGCCATTTATCCAAGGAAGAAAAACAGCTGTGATCTCTGGACCCCTTCAGGGTAACCTTTCTTGTGGCATTCATTCCAACCCATTTGTGCAGAATTGCCCCAATTTCTCTGGCAAATAATTAAAAGGGTCGGCTAAGTGCCGTACCCATTGTCTGCCTCACTCAGCGAGTTTCTACCATTCTTACATCTGTCAGCCCTGCTCCTGCAAAACCCCTCCTTTCTCTCAATCCCATCATCTATATAATAGAAATCATTCCTCCCCCCCCATGTATTAAAAAAGAAAGCAATTTCCCCCTTTTAAGCCCATTTAAGTGTCTTGTACGGGCAGACATTTGTCACTAGCTGAGCGATTATTATAGAGAAAAGAAGCTGGTGGTGAATACCTCATAATTACCTTTCCTTAATGTATTACAGTTTTTGCAACTGATTCTTTCGGGGGGGTCTCCCCCTCCACCCAGAGCTCAATGCATCAGGGAAGTGAGCATTTCCCCAGGCAGCCTGTTCAGGTTAACCGCTGTTCCATCTTCTGGAGATTTCTTCTTCACCTGCAGGACTGTTCTTCCTTATGCCTTCCTTCATTCCCACCCTGCTTTCGTATATAAAAATTGGAATATAGGAAAGGGCGTGTAGCATAAACTCAGCCTTTATAGTAATTTGCTCAAGCTGGCCTTTGGGGGGAGTCTTACAAAGAGGTCGTGTGGTTGCCTTTTCATCCTCTCTATCCCAGCGCTGGAACTACTGCTGATCAATCCATCTCCTGGGCTTGACGGCCATTCAAAGGCTTGCAAATTGTTCTCCCTATGCGCTAAGCAGCCCAGAGAAAGCGGGGCCCATAGATTTGGCCAAGACGTGTTTTTTTTAGCTCCATTGGGCTTCCTGGTGTATAGCTGGAGCTTTTGCCTCTCGGGCATCCCCACCAAGCCTCACGCCAACTTCCTCATGACAAATCCCTGAACAGCCCAGGAGTCTTACCAAACCCACCAAGGCCCAAGGGCCAATACAGGCCTGATGAATGACAGCCACAGGCTAGAGAAATCCATCAACAAGGCAACACTGGTTGGGGAACAAGAGACAGGATATCATCCATCACGGGCCTAATAGAGAATTCTCTCCAGTGAAGGGCAGTAATGGTTCCCTCACATATCTGCACAGAAGGACCGAAAACACTTGGGTTTAGTGGCTGAAAGTTCCCATAAATCCTGCCTTCATCTATCAGCTTTGATCCCATCCCTCTGCTTAGGAAAGGTTTGACGTTTGTCATGAGACTCCTTTTATGATCCACTTAAATTCTAAGTACATATTTAAACTGAAACATTAACTTAATCCATTCCAGAGATGCCATTTATTTAACTGAGCGATAGCCGGCTTTCTCACTCTTTGGGTGATGTAGAAAACCCAGAATCAAAGAGATGGAAGAGACTTCCAAGGTCATATCCAGCTCAACCCCTGGCAATGTCGACCTTTCACTGCTACAGCATATCTGGGAGGTAGTCTTCTTCTCTTTGCTAAGAAAACCATAAGGCAGTGTTTCTCAACCTTGGCAACTTTAAGACGTGTGGACTTCAACTACCAGAACTCCTCAGCCAGCCATAAGGAAAAGTGAGTCCATGGGAGAGATGGTGGGGAGCCTGATTTTAATATTGACTTATTGTAGTATTGACATATAAGGTTTTCTAATATGCAGACCACATTAGGTAAATACAAGAAGTGTGTTTTGATCATCTGAGTTTAGGGTTTTAATCTCTTGTATGTACCCAGCCTGGGTTTCTCTGGAGAGGGAACCAGAAAAAAATGCATGGCTAATTTCTCAGATTCACAAAAACAAAGAGAAAACCAAACCTTGCATTGGAAGATGGTCTATGTGCCTTCTGTGGGGGAGACAGGTGAAGCAGAGAGTATCAGGGCCAGCCCTCCCGTCTGAAGGAACCAAGACTTTGAACCTTGCTGCACAAAACTCTCATGCCACAATTTGATTTATTGTGAAGTTGTCTTTTCCTCAGCGTGCAGAAGGGTTAGGATAAGACGTCTCTGTTTCATGGTAGAGTTCTCTCGTGCATTGTAATAAGAGACTAATTTCGAATGTCTGTCTCCACAAGTGGCACCTTTGCAACCAGCTCAGCCTCCCTGCTCGTGCCTGGAAATACATTATCTAGACAGATTTGATGAAGAAGTAAAAATTCGTTAGCGATCTCTCAGCCGGCCTCTGCTGCTTTTGTTAATGCCTTTGTAAATTCCCCTCTCCGGCACATTCTGGCAAAAGACCTCTGATTCTTGACACGTACAATGAGGTCCCAATGAAAAGCTTGAGACCATCGGGTCCACGTGACCAACCGAAGCGAGGAACAGCACAAACAGCTGGGTTGCAAATGCACACAAAGGATTGGGGCCCTGCCTTTACCAAGGAAAGAGGCCGGCAAGGGGAAAGAGGTGGAGATGAATGAGGCTCCCTTAAAGGTGCATTTGGGCCACATACACGTTGGCTCTGCTTTTCTGCCACACTGGATGACTTGATCCATCGACTTGCTTAACCCCACATTTGACCTCCACGGCATTGTTTAGGAATCAGTCAATTACTGCATAACGTTGCCCATAAATTCCTCATCCATCACTCCCTTTTTTCCATCTGTAGCCCTCCTCTACCAGCATCTCCCTTAGCTTTCAAAGCAGGCCTCTTTCCCCCTCTCCCCCCTTCCCAGCATGTGTGGTTTAACTCCTCTGGAGCCACGGGCCGCTCTTCCAACCCCTTTCGATGGCAGAGAGCCAAAGCAAAGCTGGTCCATGCACTTTTTTCTTCTTTTGCACAAAAGAAGGACCAAAAAGTAGAGCTGAAGACAACATGAGGTTAATTATAGGTCAGGCCAAAGCATTGTTCTGCTGTTTACCATGAACATACAAAAGCTTTGCTAGTAAATACCTGCCATGTTTTCTGTTGATGTTTGACGGAGTTTTCTTTGAACAAAGAGGCAAGAACAAAGACTTCCAACCAATGTTTTAATCAGTTGGTTGACTCTGCAATTCTGTCTTTGCTAGAAAGCGTTTTTTCTCTTCTCCTTTTTCCTTATCACACCTGTTTTCTCCTTCTTTCTTTTTATTTTCCCACCTGCTTGTTACAGAATCATCTTAACATTTTCACCGTCTTAATTTAGATCACATACTCTTGAAATAACCCTAATGTCTTGAAGCTGATACTCATCTGGAGGGAGGGGGAGGTTTTTAATAAAAGAAAACATGAAAAAAGACACACACAGATGTGTCTGGAGAAACATCTGTTCTAACATCGCACTTCTCCCCAAAACTCATCAGAAGTCTCCAACGTGATCCAAGATCTTTTACTTTGATTTTTTCCAACTTCAAATTGGAAATTTGATATCTTTTGTATTTCAGAAGCATTACCCAAAACCTTCTAGTCTGTAGGACCTGCAACTGCAGCATCACGGGAGTACACACTACATGGGTGTATACCCTTGGTCTAAATTCAAAAGTTGTTTGCAAGCCTGGTTCAGACGTCTGACAAATGTGGGGCCATCAAGACCCTAACAAGCATCAGCCCCTCCACTAGGGAAGAAAAGGAAAATAGAAGGGAGCGTTAGAAAGAAAGGGAGTTGCTGAAAGAACAGGGTGAGAGGAAAAAACAGCCATTCCCTACTTCACATGAGGGTTTTGCTTTCCATGCCCAAATATAGATCTTAGGCCAAAAAGGTTGTTCTGGTCCATTACAAGCAAGGCTCAGGGTTAAACTATTGAAGTGTTTTTACTTGATGTTTGCTTTGGTTTTGTTCTTCAGCTGAAGAACCCCAAATGTATTGAAGAGGAATGTGTAATTGTTCGCTTTTTATGGCCGATGTGCAATATCACAAATCATCAACTTTGGAGTTTTATTTCACACTGATGGCTTTATAAGAGCTGACTTACAATGTCTTGCCTTGACAAACGCACCACTAACTTAATTGCTCCCCAAAGGTTAATCTTTTTCAAAACATGATCATTTTATCTGAATTTAGAACTTTTATGCTAATTTATCTGGCAATTCAATTGCACCTTATAGGTTTCATATTGACGTGGGAGATTGGAGCTGTTGTACTCTGCAAATTGGAAATTTGGATGAGAATTAAAATGAGTTCATTTCTGTTGTTGCTCCTGGTCAACATGTCTTCCCTTGTAAATCTAGGGCTCCCATTTGGTCATTTTTGACCTGTAGTCAATCAACCATCAATATGGGTGGAATGCTGGAAGGTTCTATGCCAAATTTGCTGGTTCTCTACATCTGCCAACCTTCCATAGTAAAATTTAAAAATGCTGTTTTGGAGAAACATCACCATATCACGAACGAACTTGTTTAAGAGAAGACTTAAATCAGAAATGCAGAGGTGCATTCATTTAAAAGCATGTTTTACAAGTTAAATGAAACCAACCAAAAAGACCTCTATTAATTTTTATTTTTTTAATATAAAAACAAATATGAAAAGCCAAAATTAATGCAGGGATAGGGGGGGAATAGAGAGAAAGAATTCATTTGTGTCTGAATCATCTGAAAATTTAAGATGTTCAGAGAGGAAATAGTTGAAATTACAAGTCTTTTGAATGAAAGACAGAAAGACAGAAAGAGGGAAGGAAAATGAAGAGTTACAAATAATTGAAGGTAGGACTAGTTTTCACAAAAACACAACGCCCAAAAGCCAAAATAAAAAGAATGCAAAGTAACTATGATGAAATGAAATTAACGAGATTTTTTAAATGGAATCTTTTGGCTGGTTAGTTGCTTGTCCATTCCATACTTTTACAATGCATTTCTTTATCTAGAAGTATGGAGGCTCTGCATTAAGGGTGTCATCCTATAGGTACCGTCCTGGAGAAGAAAAACAATTGGACTCAATAGAGCTTACTTTTGAGTAGACCTCAGTGTAAATCACCCTGGTTGATCTTCTACATCTTGGTAGCAGCATGTCAGAACCCCCAGCAATAAATGAACTTCTTTTTGAACTTATTACGAGTTTCAAGAGATTTTTCTTCATTGGGATTTGAACATTGTAGACCTTCGTTGGGATTTGAACACTGTAGATTTGAACAGCCCTAAACCAAGACAGACATATCTAGGCTGCAAATATCTAGAGCAGTGTTTCTCAACCTTGGCAGCTTGAAGATGTGTGGACTTCAATGCCCAGAATTCCCCAGCCAGCATGGCTGGGGGGGGGATTTTGGGCGGTGGAGGTCACACATCTTCTAACTGCCAAGGTTGAGAAACACTGCTCTAGATATTTGCAGCCTAGATATGTCTGTCTTGGTTTAGGGCTGTTCAAATCTACAGTGTTCAAATCCCAACGAAGGTCTACAATGTTCAAATCCCAAC